CCCTCGAGCAAGCCCCCCTCCGTGGCCCGTAAGGAGCGGATAGCGTGTGTCCCGGGGAGGCCAGCGTCCTGCACCCCGAGCCTCCTCGGCAAGGCAGGTTCTGCGCACGGGTGCTGCGGTTAGTAGCGGGTACCAGCGCCGCTTCTGTGGCCCCTCCTCAGTGGGCCTTGTGGAGGGTGATAGCTGAGCCCGGTGTACCTCGTTCTCGGTGTTGTTAAGCTCTTAAGGGATGACTTTTAAAGAATAAAAATACTTTCGAGTCTGGGCTTTGGATTTGTACTTCAGCTCCTAGCCCGTGACTCGTGCCTCACTAACAGTTTCTGTGCTCCAGGAGCTCCTGAGGTATTTACGGCCTGTGTTAGACTAACACTGGATAAAAAGAGGCAAAACTTATCGCTCTTATTTTTTTAGTTTTAATATTAATGAAGAATGATGTGCTTTCTCCTGAGATAATTGGATTGTCACTAGACAAACTTGCTTTAGAATTTATTTGTAGTCTTTTGCAAGTACTCTTACAGCTGTTAGCTCTGCTCTGTGAGAATCTGTTTTTCTTTTTTTTATTCTTTTCCCAGACTTTCTTCCTCTGAAATGCGATGCTTGTGGGGAAGTCTTCTGTAAAGATCACATCCGTTATGATGACCACAAGTGTAGCTCTGCCTACAAGAAAGTAAGTTCCTATACATGAGTCAGTAATTCACAGTGCAGAATTGCTAAGTCACACATAAAGGCTGCTCTGAAACTTGACCTGTGGTTTCAATAAAAGTGGATGGGAGAACCGCAAGATGCTGAATTTCAAATATGTAGAAACCTAACATTTCGGAGGTCAGTACTGCTAGGTTCTAGTTACTTTCACTTACACTGCATCTTCCCAGAGGAGTGCTTTATATTTTAAGTAACGTATTGTGGCCTAAAACTTTCTGCAGCCCCAGTCCTTTCAGTTGAAGGACAGCAAACATGAAACTACAGAAGAAATAGAGTAAGTGGGGCCAAACTTTGATCTCTGGCCCATACCTGGGCTTTGAAGTATTCCAAGGCTGTAATTCCAGAAAGCCTAGAAGCATATTTAAAGTCAACTTACCAAATATGTTGCTAGAAATTGATTTGGCAAAGCATGTCTATTTTTGGATAATGATTTGCAGTTACCTTTGTGAAGTATATCTTTAAAAGCATTAGTAAATGAGTAGAACGTAAACCACTTGTGAATGCTTCTATCACCCATGGGTAAGAGAAGGGGAAGGACAGAAGAATAATTGGGTGGGACTTCTGATCTGTGTATGTTCTTAGAATGTGCAGGTTCCAGTGTGTCCGCTCTGCAATGCACCTATCCCAGTACAGAAGGGGGAAATACCAGATGTTGTGGTTGGAGCCCACATGGATAAGGACTGCAAATACAATCCAGCCCAGCAGAAGCAGAGGGTAAGGAAACTGCTGTCGAAGTGGAAACTGCCTGCCTAATGCTTGTGAAGCACACTGGTCTCCCACCTGCTCGGTGTGAGGCTTGGTCAGTTGTGCTTCACAAGCACACTGTAGTGATTAAAATAGCTACATAGACACAAGCACTAGGACACCAAATTGTTTTAACAGCATCTCCCACCTGCTCAGTGTGAGGCTTAGTGTTCTGACAGCACAATGTGTAGAAGCTTGCTCTGTTTCACCTTAATTCTAAGGGCGCTTGAGCATTTGTGCTTCAGCCTGGTCATTACTTGGGAAGCTGATCACCAAGCAAGCATTGCCAACTTCATGTTCTCTGTTATTTAGATATTCACAAACAAGTGCTTAAAGCCAGGTTGCAAAAGGAAAGAGATGATGAAGGTAGTTTGTGAACAGTGTGGTGGCAACTTCTGCATAAAACATCGGCATCCTCTGGATCACGACTGTAAAGGGAGCAGCCATCCCACCTCCAAGGCAGGGTAAGCTGTATTTACAATACTTTGAGCTCAAGCTGAAACTTCAGAGCTAGTATCAGGGGTTGGTGAGGAGCTCAGACAAAGAGGGAACTCTGTGAACTACTGGTCACTTGAATAAAATAGCCACTACTTCCTCTCTGTGTTTTGGGCCTAATTTCTGAAAGTCTGTGAGCCAAGATAAAAGCTTCTTGTCAAATGCCTTCCTAAAATTCTTTCAAGCTTGCTTATCTTGATAGTGTGACTCTCAGTGTCTCCTAACTGTGAATAAATAAACACTGGCCATCTCAAGTACCCTTTGGGGTCTGGATCTAAATACTAGAATCCTAAAGTTTTCCCCAGCTCCTTGAAGTAAAAAAGAATAAAATCAATACCTTGCCAAGCAAAGTTTAAACTTAGTTTTAATAAAGATCTGTCTCCTGCAGGCAGATGTACCTTTCTTGTTCTGTGCCATAGGACTGTAAGGCTTGTACAGATGCAGATGACTAAACTGATGGAAGAGTGAAACTAGTGGCAGTGTGCATAAGAGGTGCTGAGCCTGGTTGTATTTCTTTGTAGATATGCAGCTCTGATGAGAGCCTCTCAAACTGCCTTCAAGTCAACGGGAGCAATTGGAGTGCCATCTAATGGGAGTCTTCAGCACAACAGGTATAAGCTGTAGAATGAAAAAAACAAACAAGATTGTTTAAAAATAGTCTTATGTCAACATGGTGTAGGAGTGCCACTGTCATACCACTAACTGCTCTAGAGTTGGCAGTTGATCTTTGACCAGTGTTGGGAATGTGGCAGAGGGGTTCTGACAGCACAAGTAAATCTTTACTTCTCCGTACTGTAGTGATTAAAATAGCTATATAGACACAAGCATTAGGACATCAAATTGTTGTAACAGTAGGCTGGTCTCCCACCTGCTCAGTGTGAGGCTTAGTCAAGTTCTGGGAAAATGGTATGTCATCAGAATGCTGAGGAGAGGATAGCAAGCATCTGAATTACAATAAATGGCCCAAGCCCTTCCCTGCTATGGTGTATCCCCTTGTGACTAAAAGTTACATGACTGAAGCTTACAGTGTGTTCTTATGTCTTTCAGATGCAGATAGTAGAGGCTCTTCACATCTGGATCAAACATCTGTCTACTTCAAAGTTAATCTTGTCTATAGGTCTTTAAAATTTTCTATGCAATTAACTTATTTTTGTATCATAATGTGTTATGCATTCAATAAACTGTCACCCTTTCCAAGCCAACTTTATTTGTTCCTGTATTTGGAATAAGAGCTGTAATACCATGAAAAATACTTGGTGGAAGAAACTGGGGAATGGTGGTAGGAAGAAGACTAAAATTAGTATGAAACACAGCCAGCTTTGCTTAGGGCATACTAAGTCGGAACTATGAGTTTCTGAAGATGAAAGTCTGAAATAGAAGCTATGTCTCAATGTTGTATGTCTCAATCCTTTTGGAAATGAACAGGCACAGAGTGCAGCATTCTGCTTGACAAACAGCATACATCAACATGAAGCCAGTTTTATATAAACTGCCTCTTGTTTCTGAATGTCATTGGAAGTACTTGATTTATAAAGCCATACCTAGTTTTTCTAAGCCCTCCCTAAGCAATTCACTGAAGGCTAGTGCTCAGAGGCATGCACAGTATAATTCTTTATAATTTATTGCCCCTTAGATAGAAACCTAGATTTGCATGGGTATCTTTTGCGTTTGGGGTAAAAAGGAAGCCAGAGAAAGTAGCATTAACTGTTTGTGTCCCATGTAATGAGAATGAGGCCAAAATACAGTGTTGTCGGGAGAGGTTACTCTTGCTGTCTTCCTGAAAAGCTCAAACAAGTGAAGACATAACAGGTATGCTCCATCTGTTATTATCTTGATCAGCTATCTTGGCTCTTTAAAACTGCATGAATATCCAGCTGCTTAGCTTGAGCCCTGAAATATTGTAGGTTGATGAAATGGAAATGTGCTGTTAATGAACAATGCTAATTCCCAGCTGGGATCTAAGTAGACCTCTCATCCAGCTAATTGTGAGAAAAATGCCAAGGCTTACTGATGCTGTCAGGGGGTCAAGACCTCAATTTCCTGTGTCATTGGAGCTGTTCCTCTGCATGCTGGGGCTGGTGGGCTGGAGTGTTGGTTTAGGACTAACTGAAGGGTAATTGCAGTCCCCTGAATCACCTGCAGCTGTGAGTGCCCAGCCCCGCTTTGCTGAGGTGGGAGGATGAGCAGTTTGCATAGCAGAGGATGTGGTGTTCCTTGACCTGGGAAAAATCATCTTTGGTAATACTGTAAGAGATGGGAGCATAAGTGCATTTAATGCTTATGCTTTATACAACCTGGAGATCTACTGCAGTTGTGCAAAGACTTGGGTGCTTCTTGTTTCTCTTTGGAGAGGCTTAATCCTTAGAGCACAAATGTTGCCTAAAAAGGAAATGTGGATTAGCATGTAAACAATCAACATACTGACTTGTAGGCCTTTTATCAGAAAGGGCAGGGATAATGTAATTTCTGGCAAATGCACAAGCACAAAAAAATGTGCACTATCCTGTATTCATGTTTGGCTCAATGTGATTTCTTCTCATCCAGGAGAAGTTTTTGGAGAATGATCAAAGCTATATGGAAGGCTGTAGTTGGCCAAACTGAATGTGTAAAGCCGGGAGGTATGAGTTACCACTGCTAATTCCATATAGTCTAATTTTACGCAATCACGTGGTCAAAATTGTGATTTGATGGTATCTGTAATACTGTGTTTAACCACAGGATGTCACAATAGGATACATAATAAACATTATTTTAGGATGTCTAAACATAGAAAACATGCTTCCCTATTCACGTTGGAACAAAAGCTTAAATTACAACTCTAATTTTAGATACCACTACCTACTGCTTATCCTGTGTGCTCTAATGCCATAACTCAGCCCTAGCGCATTGCTACAGTACTAGGACTTTTGTATTCTTTCTGTATAATACAGAACTGGCCACGTTCCCAAACAATGCTGTGCGCCCCATTGGTGGCATGGGAAGGGGTTTCCAGCAGAGAGGAGCAGCAGGTGCTGACCATGGTGTGAGGACGTGGACCAGAGCTGAGAGGCTCTGCCCAGCCCAGCAGTGATGGGTGGGGGACAGGATTGGCACCCCCGGGGTGTGGGGAGGAGGTGGGAGGAGCAGCAGCAGGTGTGGCCCTGGTTCAGACAAGAGAAGGAAGCAGGTGTGAAGGTTTACCTCTTCCCCTCGGTGTATATAATGGGGAGTTGCTGCTGCCAGCATCTGCTACCACAGCCAGCACCTCAGCTCTTACTGGGATCAAAGCAAATGGAAACAAAAACCCTGTTTCAGGTTGTCATGAAAAAAATATTCCATCTATGTGTTTGGTTTTGGTAAATATTCTTGCCCTTAAATTACCACGGGGAAATGGAAATGTTTGTGCACATGGTATTTATAGAAAATGAAAACATGGAAACCAATCCGTTCCCTGGAAACCTTGTCCTCGGAGATGTTTTCTCGTCTCCTCAAGCCGCAATGTCCGCCTCTTCTCGGCACGTTCCCTCAGACCCGATCAGGACAGCAGGTAACGCTGTCTCAGACACGGAGCCTTTAGGATCTGCTGGCTAAAAGGCATCGCCACCATTCTCCGGAGAGCCGCATCTCACCGCGTTAGCAGCTGGCATGGCACCCACGGGGAGACGCGCGGGCCTGCTGCGGCCAGCAGCACCCCTGGCTTATGCGGGGAGCACTGGGGCTGGCCTCCCACCCGGTGTCCTTCGTGGAGAGTGCAGGGGTGGGTGCTGCCAGGCCCTGAGGGGCAGGGGTCCCTGTCAGCCCCTGGGGGGGGCCCTGTCAGCCCCTGGGGTGGATCCCTGTCAGCCCCTGGGGTGGATCCCTGTCAGCCCCTGGGGGGGA